CCCCCCCCCAGGCTTCTCCCAAAGCGCTGCGCCCGATGGTGGGGGAGAAAACCGGATAATCCGTTCCTATTGGAACGGATTATCCGGTTTTCAATGCATCTCTATGGGAAAACGCGTTTCACTTAGCGGTGTTTTCCCATAGCAATGTTTTTTTTTAACCAATTAAACTCGTTAAGCGAGGCACCACTGTAATATAAAATCCATGGCAGGTATATACAGAAGGAGGCAGTCTTTCAGCTAGCCTTACTCCAAGCCATTTAGGCATTCAGGATGAACACCACCATCTTGAATTTAAGCTCAAAAACAAACTGGACGTTCAGTTGGTCTGAACCATTGTTACATAGTTTCTAAAGCACATGTTAGTCATCGGTTTGGACCCACATCCCTTATTCATTGTAGGAGGACAGAGATCAGCATCCAATTGTGTTATTTTTACAGGTATTTCTCAGGCAGTCCTTGCTTATTCTTTAATCTTGTATCTCTAACCCATTCTCAAGAATTAAGCAGCATGTTTATTAGAAACGGTTAGTATATAAAAACAAAGTGTTAGACAATTAAACACAATGTGGCATATCTGGTTACTAACGAAATATACAGAACACAGAAAGTATCTGCAAGGCGAGAAGCTTAAGACAGAATTTATTTCTAAAATGGTTTATCTGAAGTATGTTGATTTTAAAAATTACTCTTAACTTGCACTGTGTTCAGTATACTAATCTCTCAAGATCTAACTGCCAACACATTCAACATTTATTACTACAGATAGGTTTGTTTACTAGATTTTCTTGCTACTGATCTCACATGCAATTCTTGCACATTTATGTCTCCCTGAGATCAGCATGGAAGAGAACTAGAGGTCAAAATCATGAGCAGATAGCTGCTTATCACCACTGATAATATTTTTATTATTAGTTTTATTTACATGCTGCATATGATAGCCCTGTCTGGAAGATTTCAAGGAAAGTTTTAATCCTTCATGGAGAGAAAAGATGGGAAGTATGAATGCTACCTACTAATAGTCGAACAAAAAGAGCACACAAACCTATCTACGGCAACACAGAGGGACCTAAGTGAAAAAGAACCATCTTGCCCTCTATCGTTGTGTCTCTGTCATATAATAGGGCACCTACCTCCTAATATCTTCTTATGAGAATATGCTTCCTATGTTAGAAATATACCTAATGTATCCTACAGTTGTCAAGCAGATATCTCTGAGAAAACCACAAGGAGGACATGAACACTGAAGCAACTTTCTACTTATTGTAATGTTTATCCTCACTGGACTTTATGACTTTGATTTACTCCCTTAATGTATTGAGGTTGTTATTGCTATTTTGCTGCTTTGCTGTTTTATGTTACTTGTTGTAAACCGCCCAGAGTGGCCTTAGCTGCCAGATGGGTGGTAAATAAATAAAATAAAATAAAATAAACTTATGTCCTCAGCGATCTGTATTGGGAAATGCACTGCCTGTGGTACTGGAGGCAGTACAATAATCATAACTAGTGGCCAATGATAGCCTTGACCACAAATCTGCCTATCTCCGTATTTTGTGGCCATTGTTTCTTAATAATTAATTTCATAGCTGTAGTTAAGGTACTTTCTTTTATCTATTCTGATTAAAGCTTTAGAATATTTTTTAAAATAAAAACAGAACAGCCAGATTCTGAGAAGGCCACAAACGAGCTGTTAAGCCTGCAAGGTGAGGGCAAGCTTTTGGTTTGCAAGATCTACTTTGATTTCCTTGCAATTTTGAAATCTGTTAAGAAGAAGCAAATGCAAACAGGTGAAAAAGCACAGTGGGGCCAACAATCCAATGCTGTCATGAGGCTTTGATTCAAAAGCCTATCAACAGAAGATGGAAAAGTAAAAACGGATACATCCTGTTTTCAGATCTTCCAAAAAACAATATACAGTACATACTAAGCATCAAAATGTGTCACAACTTCTTCAGTAATCTTCAAACAGTTTCAAAGAACACACAAATAAGCACTCAGATAACTGTCCCATCTGAGAAAACTATACTGGATATTACACAGAACATCATATGCTGCTTGGCACTAAGACTGGCCAGAGTCCTTGTGGCTAGTTATACCAATGTTAAATTCAATGGGGTAAACTGCAGCTGCAAACTGCCTCTATTTAATGAATATCTGCTTATACCCCTTCTGCAAGTGGTGCATGACAAAGGATATATAACCAGTAATTTCTTAACTAGTGGTAATTAGTTCAAAAAACCCAATTTACTCCTGCAGTTTGCATCACTGCACTTATGCTGGTGTATCTAACCAATACAGTTCTGACCCATCTCTAGTAAAAGGGTATTCAAAGCTACTGTTTGCCCTGCTGCAGGAAACATGCAGAAATGTCCCTTGGCTGCTCTGTTCAAAACTTGACCCCTCCCTCCTCCATAGCTTTTTAAGTAGAAAAAGAACCCATCAAAGATTATGATGCTTGGCATTAACATAATATTAAATATAATTCTATTAATTGCTACCCATCATGACAGCAAAAAAAAAGAGCTTCCATGATCAGATCAGGATGCAACTGAATAGGAATCGCTGAGAAATAACAATAAAAGAGAATTTTATGTCCTGCCTGTGGGTCTCTGGGGGCAGCTATTTAGCTACTGTGAGAAACAGGACACTGGGCAAGAAAGGCCTTTTGGTAACATCCAGAAAGGCTTGTACCTTCATGTATATCTCCATAAAAAATAAAGGAATAACAACATGGCGATATGCACAGGAGCCACAAAGTCATTTGTTCATTTAATGTATATTCCTGTTTAGTAGTAACAACAGCTTCATAAACCACCTTGGGGATTTTGTATCGAAAAGGTAGAAATTTCTTTAAGAAATAAAATATTTGTATTCATAGAAAAACAACTGTAATGGATCTCTCAGGTAGGTTCTATCCTGTTTGCTCTCTTCTCCAACTTGGTTTTCACAACAATCCTTTGAAGTAGATTAAAGTAAGATAAGAGCTGCTTGAAGACACTCAGCCTTCATAAAATGTGAGCTTGATTCTCCCTGCTCCAAATGCAGCACTTTAACAACCACACCACCTCCTGTTGAACCACAACAAATAACCCATGCATGTTCAGTAGATTTTGTCCTATTGCAGACTGCCAGCCCTCCCTTCGCTTTCAACAATCTGCTCAACATTTTAATTCATTCACTTAAAATATCCATCCCTATCTGAACAGAGTCGTTCTTATTGCAAGTCTTGTTTCTACAGAACCAATGTTTCCATTCAGTTCCCTGTTATATTCAGAGTCCTTTTCATATATCATTTATTTTGGATGGCCTACTAGTATTCTTAAATAAGAAATGAATCCAAATGACTGCATTTCAAATCACCTTTCTTACCCCCTTTTCTCTCCTCAAGAGCTGGTGCTTTTGTTGATATGGAGTTATTGTCTTCTGTAGTCCTTATGACATTTTCTTCTTGTATGGCTTCTTCAGTGATTACTACTGTATGGCCATTTGAGATTTCGTAATTTATTGTTACACCTCCATCTGACAATAAACAAACAGAAAACAAAGCCATTCACTCATTTTGACAGTGCAATTAACACTCCTATTGGCAGGTTTCTCACTTTTAATAATGCTCTCATTAGTATCAGGCACGTTTGATATGTATAAAATGTTTTGCTACAACATATTGCCCTACCATGTTTCCCCGAAAATAAGATAGGGTCTTACATTAATTTTTGCTACAAAAAACACATTAGGGCTTATTTTCAGGGGGTGTTTTATTTTACAGTCATGTCATCTTCTGGTTGCTGCACAATGGTGGAGGGCGGGGTTTCACTTACCTAGGGCTTATTTTGGGGGTAGGGCTTATATTACAAGCATCCTGAAAAATCATACTAGAGCTTATTTTCAGGTTAGGTCTTATTTTTGGGAAACAGGGTATATATATCTAAACATATCACAAAACATCTTTTTTGTAATACAAATGGTGGTAGAAGGATAGGACTTAGCTCAAAATATATATTCCCAGAACTAATTTTCATCTGGGTTGTAGTCTGCTTCAGAGCCAGGTGACAACTGCCTAACAAGAAAAAATAAGCCATCTAACGAAAATAAAATAATAATTAAAAATCATTTGCAGATTACTGCTTACACAATGCTAGACTGCCTGTGAAGATACTCAAGAGATGCTTCACAGAGGGATCAGATCAGAAATATATAACAAAAATATATAACAAAACCTAACAAAGTGTCAGAGATTTGACCTGCTGTACCAAAATGTGGGTTCTCTCTCAGAAGGCATAACCACATCCCAAAAGATTCCCAACCAGCAAGCAATTCTGATGAGTTTTCTGAGCCAAACGTGCCTGTTCCAAATCCAGAGAGTTCTACAGAGTTGTGTGTGTTCCTGACCAGCATTTGGAGCTCCCCCTATCATTCTCAGGGCCAAAAGTGGAAAGGGGATCCAGGCAGCATGTGAGGTTATTCACAAGGAGGGCAAAGTGTATGAAAACACCTGGTCAGAGCAGGGCCTAACTGAGAGCTGGAGTGCAGTGTTCAACTTCTCTGGAACACCTCTGTTTGAGATCAATCACTGTTGAGACAACAGCTCTCTTAAAACTTCCAGCCATCTTGAAATGAGAAAATGGGCAAAAGAAAGAAGCAGATTCCCACATTCCCAGTACCTTGCATATCAAGAATACCTACATCACCACAACACTTATTCAATGCTTAGTTCTTCAAATATGCAATCTAGGCAGAATCCAACTGATTTCACTGGAATGACAACGATAATCCGTCCCATTGAAATCGCTGTTTAGCGAAATCATAGTCTTGCAAAAACCGTTTCCCAACTGGAATGCACTGAAACCTGTTTAATGATTTGCAATGGGGAAAAATCGTTGTCGTTTTGCGAAGATCGCCCATAGGGCAGCCATTTTGCGATGCGCCGATCATCTGTTAAAATGGCTGTCCTGCGAAGCATGGGTCCTGAAAACATAGGAAAGCCATTTTGCGAAGCCACTGATCAGCTGTAAAAATCATCATCTTGTGAAAAAATGGTCCCCGAAGCACAGACCAAATCATTGTCCAGCGAAAATCGCCCATTGGAATCACAGCTTTGCGAATCGCTATAGCAATTGCAAAACATCATCATGTGGATTTGTCATTTTGCGAGGTCGGCGTCTAGTGAGGTACCACTGTATTTAAATTTATGCAAGGCTGTCTCGTGGAAATGTACATGACTTGAAGGCTTTTAGCACTGATTACAAGGTGGATTTGATTTAAATTCTAAAAATCAGATTTTTTTGATGATTTGATTTTTTTAAAATAACTTTTTAAAAATTTAAATCATGATTTATGATTTCAATGATTTTTATTCACCCTGACTGATTACAGTGGACTCTCGACTTACAGACAGCGCGACTTACAGACTTTTCGAGTTACAGACTTCTCTGGCTGCAAAATTTAGGTTCGACTTACAGCCAGAAAATCGACCTACGGACCAGAAAAAACCCGAAATGGAACAAAAACGGCCAGTTACAGATTAATCAGTTTTCAATGCATTGTAGGTCAATGGAGCCTCGACCTACAGACTTTTCGACCTGCAGCCACTGTTCCAATACAGATTAATTCCGTAAGTAGAGGGTCCACTCATTACTATTTATTTATTTATTTATTTATTTATTCTATTTATGATATGACCACCCTAGGCGGCTATGCTGTTGGGTCAGCAGCCAATAATGATTACCCTGGCATTAATTTTCATCATCTGTCACGAAGGTTTACATCTTCTATGACAGATACCTTGGTTTGAAGGAATCTCAGATCAATTTCCTGGTCCAAATAAGGTGGGGAACAATGTCTTAGGAAAGCAGGAAAGCTTTATCAAACTGAGATTGCTATGTCTACACTGATTCTGTTGGACTATATGATCAATATTCAGAACTAACAATAAATTTAGAGCAAGTCAAATCAATTTAAATCATCCATCAACAAGAAGATACCAGCCAGTCAGCCTATCAACCAGATTAGCTTTAAGTCATTTATTACAGAAGAAACCCTACAAAAACAACCTGAGAAACTTGGTTACAGTTTCACAACATAACCATATGAATTACACTGTCCAGAAATATCCTACATGTTAATCATTTTATGTATTTGCACATTAATATATTCTCAAGAGTCTTTTGTGATTTTTGCCATGATGTTTAAGCCATTTTGGTATTCAGCAAATACAGCTTGGAGCGCTAAAGAAGATTCCACTTTTCAAAACCTCCTCTGGATCTTACATTGGCATTAAGTACAGTGGGGTCTCTACTTAAGAACTTAATCTGTATTGGAAGGTGGTTCTCAAGTTCTTATGTTGAATCTGCATTTCCCATAGGAATGCTTTGAAAACCATTTAATCCGTATCTGCTCTTTTCCGTCCATAGAAACTACAGTGGAACCTCTACTTAAGAACTTAAGCCATTTTGGAATGGAGTTCTTAAGTTGAAACGTTCTTAAGTTGAAGCAAAATTTCCCATAGGAATGGACTGAAAACCAATTAATCCGTTCTGGCTGTTTTTTTGTTATGTAGAGGTGTGTTCGTACATTGAAGCATTAGTTCCCATAGGAACTAATGCAAAGCTGGTTAATATGTACTCTATCACTAGGGGGAGAATTTTTTTTTAACCTAAGATGACCTAAGGTTAAAAAAAGAGCAGGAAAGGTTTTTTTTCCTGTTCTTATCTTGGATTTCTGTTCTCAAGTAGAAGCAAAATTTAGCAAATGGAGCTGTTCTTAAGTTGGATTGTTCTTAAGTAGGGACGTTCTTAAGTAGAGACCTCACTGTATCATTTGAAGGCAGGGGCAATTCCCTCATTTATTTCTGTTACTGCTTTAGTATGCTGTGCACATAATAGGAGGGGGGCCTTGTCAGGCACCAAGAAAGGTCTTTGCTATGCCATTTTTCTTAGTACAAAAGGCAGCATACATTGGTCCTGAGCTTCAAAACAATGGAAACAGCATCAGGGCAATAATGTTAACAGTTTAAACAGCAACATTTAAACACAGTTAACCTATATTGATTATCACCTTGCTCACTTATTTCTTTCAGGACGCCCTTTCTTATCAGTTCTTCTCTGCTTTGCCTCATTGATATTTTTCGTTCCAGCACTTAAAAGAAAGACAGAGACAGAGAAAGATCAGACTCTTCTTCAGTAATATAACTGACAAAGTGCTAAATCATAATAAAGATTAAGATTAAAAGCAAAATAACCTCCACTGTTTTCTTTCAGAATTTTGAAACAAGTTGTAAAGAAAAACATTATTGCACAGAACAGCCTATAGAAGAGAGTTGTCATTAAGTAAGCTCATTATTATGCACTTATATATTTTTTGTCAAGTACTATGATAGACATTTGTATGTGACATGGAAAGATTTTTTTAATCTAGTCTGAGCAAAAATAGATCTGTTTTATAAAAGTAAGGATAGTATGGTTCTTGGAAACTAGAACACGAACACAAATTTGCATAATGTGTAGCATGACACATCTGGAAATTCCCTTGCACAGAAATTACAACTTGTGACTTGAGTACTTTAGTACAGGAGCATGGCATGATTAATAAACAAGGCTGATCCTGGAAATCACTTGTTTCTGACTTGTTTTCAAACTACAGGAATTTCAGGGCCTCAAGACTCATTTCGATAATTACTTACTGTCTTCAGTACAAGAAGGTTTTCCTTTCATACTGTGATGCATTAGAATGTGAAATATATAATCTTCTCTTCATTCCTATTTTACAGTTTTCAATAACTATACCATCCCATGTCTTGTTTTGTTTTTAAAAATGAACCTACTTCTGCTGACAGAAAGATGGAGGAACAAGAGCCAATAATCCCTTAAGACAATTGAGTACTTCTGAAGTGATCTGATGCAGATGTGATGTTTGTACAGGAAATATACATGCTATTCAAGAGAACTATATGATGTAGAACCAACACCACAGATCTTAGATGCAATGAGAAAGCTGGTCATAGGGGAGCATCAACCTTGCTGTGAATTATAAATGGAATTCCTCAAATCTCAAGTTTTGCTCCAATTCACTTCTCAAGACTAGAATACTCTAAATGAAAGTATGATCTCTACTTGCCTTTTTGATTCTAAATATTGACAAATGTGGTGTGAAGTTTTACACCCCAAAGGGAACATTTACTGCAAATCCTAAACAGGATTTAGTCTCACAATAGCCGTATAATGTCTACATGGACATAACAGCCATATCATATTAATATCTTTTTGAAATTATCAGACAAGAAGCCTCCAGCAGTCGTCTCTTCAAGATCATAGCCTTAATTTTTCCTCTCCTTCTACCTATCCAAGCACTTGAGAAAGAAGTGAAGTCAGCCTCAGTAGTAATTGGCAGCTTTGATTGTGCTTAGAGCTAACCTTCTGCAAGCGTGTACAGAAGAAGCATCTGGTACATCAATGATATTCCTGAAATTTTCTTGTTTTAATGCTGAAACAACAGTTAATTCTCAGTGAAAAAATATATATGAAAAAATTCAACAGATGGAGCTTCTGTGCTATATACAGCTTCATGGCTCTATCTACACTTGCTGCCAAAATCTCAAATGTGCAAAAAACCATAATTACAAGATATTTTAAATCAGTCCCTATCAGTTTATGAAACTGTCTTATTCTGAATAAGACCTCTGGTCCATTTGTTTAACAGGTAACCAGAACAAACTAAATTTCAACAATAACCAATACCAACAGAACTGCAAAAGAGATGAATATGAAGTTCAGATGCAGAAAAATAGAATCACTGACATCAAGTCCAGCTCTTGTCAAGGAGGCACAGTGGGGAATCAAACTCCCAACGTCAGGTTCTGCAGCCAGATACCTAAACCACTGAGCTATCCAGCAGTTATATTGCTCACTTTTTCCTTTCACGTACTAGTGATACCATGAACCATCAAGTTAACTCAGACATGGCAAGCCTTTCCAGGGTTTTCCAGGTATAAGGTATTCAGAAATGGTTCATCATTCTCTTCTTCTGGCAGTCCCATGGAACACCAAAGCAAAGATATTTAGAATATTTTCAGAACTTGTCAGATCATTAATAGTGTTTAACTTATGTTAACTATAATATTGTTTATTCATTATTGAATTTTGTTTATTATATTGTTTTTTCTTTTCTCTCATCTCTTTTTCTTCTTCTGGAGTGGAGCGGAAGGCCTGCCCCTCCCAGCAGAGGGCTCTCGAATATACGGGTGATTAAAGGTAGAGGGAGATATGGTGTTGGCACAGAGTGGCTGCTCATTCCAGAAGAACGGTGGAAAGATGTTTGAAGGCTGTCCACTGTTCTAGCTCTGTAATTACCTGCCCGGTTCAAGGTAGCCAGCTGAGTTGCCTCTCCACTCTAAACTTGGTCCTGCTGAATGCCAGATATGTATCCAATAAACTCCAGCTTATTCGATACCTTATTCTGGAGAAGGATGCAGATCTGGCTGGCTTGCATAACTGAAACTTGGATGGGCAGTGATGGGGGTGTTCCTCTTTCTCTTGCCTGCCCTCCCGGTTATGCTGTCCATCACCAAGGTAGACCGGAGGGGCGGGGGGGATTTGCCATTATTTATAAGAATACCCCTGAAGTTATTAGGCTCTCTGCTGTGGTGACACTAGGTCTTGAGGCCCTCTACATGTTGATTGGGGCCAGGGATGGTATTGGAATCTTGCTGGCATACCATGCTCCCTATGATCCAGCCATTTTGTTACTGGAGCTGGGGGACTTCGGCTCCGCGCCACTATTGGGATCCCCGAGGCTGCTAGTCTTGGATGATTTCAACATCCATGTGGAGGCAGAGGTTTCTGGTCCAGCTCTTGAGTTCTTGGAAACCATTCATTCATTCATTCATTCATTCATTCATTCATTCATTCATTCATTCATTCATTCATTTTATATACCACTCCCATTATTGTCACAGCACTACTCTGAGCGGTCCACGTTAAAATAGTTGTACATGAGTGGGATTGAAACTCTAGGTTGAGTAATACTGTTATTGGATAGTTCAAAAGTTACGAATAAAGAGATTTATGGGTCCTTCAAAGCTCATGAATGTTGCGTGATGTTGTTGGGCCTTGCATTAGTCCCCTTGTCGTGGTTGGACCACCACCTAATAAAATGCAACCTCACAATGGCTCTCCCTCCCCGCGGGGAACAGGAACCTATTTTAATGGTCCACCCCTGCAGGCTACTGGATCCTATAGGATTCCATCCGAGGGATTCCAACTGATCTGGCTGGCGCCCCTGTCAAGGCTCTGGTGGTTGGCTGGTGTACTGCCGCCACCAGGGCTATTGACATGATTGCACGTAAACACCCACTCTGATGCAGAGCTCATCCAGTGCTGAGAGCTATGAAGCAGAACAGGAGGAGGCTGCTAGAAAAGCTCACTTCACTCTCCTGATAAGCAAAGCTTTGAACCAGCAGGCGCAAGTTTTCTGTATAGTATGCGATCTATCCGGAGCTGGACACAATGATTGGCCTCCTCCTAGCATTTCATGTGACCAATTTGCAGCATTTTTAAAATCAAAAGTGGAGGCCATCTGCTGGGACCTAGCTCCTTATTTGGAAACAGTAGATCAAGCAGAGACATCCAGTGCAGTGCCCTGTCTGTCAAGATTTACTTGTTTGTTGTGAGTTTTCTGGGCTGTTTGGCTGTGTTCTTAAGGTTTTTCTTCCTAATATTTTGTCAGTCTCTTTGGCCGGCATCTTCAGAGGACAGGAGTCAGAACTTTGTCTGTGCTCTGGTGCAGTTTGTGCGACAGTTGAGTATTTATAGCTGTGGGATCAGCTTTTGTCCTTTTCAGGAGATTGGGTGATTATAGTGATCAGTGTGCTTTTTGTTGTGGGTGTATTGTTGTGATAAGGGGGAGAGATGATCTGTCACTGTGATTGATGGGTGTCATTAGCTGGTCTTTTGTGTGTAGTGATCACTGGTCCTTGTGGCTCGGTAGAGTTTGTTGACCTTTTGCAGGCTGTATTTTTCAATGCTGGGAGCCAACTACAAATACTCTGAACATCTTTACTTTGGTGTTCCTAACAAGACACCTAGAGAATCTCCATTTAGCTCTGCACTCTTCGGAATTACAACATTTGATATTATCAGAACCAGACACGGCTTTTGACCCATGCTATAAATCCTTGGAAGAACATCTGTCTTATTTCAGAACATAAAGTGTTTAATTTTCTTCCTTTTCTTGAAAGCAGGAACTGATGAAAGCACCCTGGATGCTTTTGTAAGGTTGCTCTTTGGAAAGGAAGAAACTGCTTTCTGTTGAAACTTGAGTTCCTGGCAGTATGGATGTCCAGATCTAAAACACAGAAATTTTGCTCCTGAAGACAAAAAATCCATTCATAATCATAAACAGCTTTTGCTGATGATTCCATTCATCAGCAAAATCTATTTCTTTCCATACAAATCTGTCAGGTTAGCAGCATCCCATTTCCAAGTCAAAATCTGAGACCAGAGGATATACCTCATGACATCACACAAATAAAAATTTGGAAAGAATGCTGGAACTGCTTCTGGGCCTGCAGATTGTGGAATCTAGATAAACAGCCTCAAAATCAGAGTAAAAACCAGTATAGAAGTAGTATTGTACAAATACAACTGGATAACAGGGGTGGAAGGACCCATTTTTCTGGCCAGGCAAGAAGCAAAATGGACAATGGTTACTTCCATTCCTTTTAGGTCTTTGGCAGCCTTACATATTGCATGTCTATTAAGTACGAATTTTCTTTCCCAGGCCCGACCCAGCTAGTGGGGCTTCCAGAGGATTCACTTTCTGCCCATGGGAAGTCTGTTTCAGGCCTTGCACCACTACTGCCAGAGCATGTGTAACACGGATGGTTCACAAGTCCCAATGCTGCTGCTCCACTCTGCCCTTGCTTCAAACAGCACTATAAAGGGTCCAAGTGGATGGGCTCTCTCCTCTTCCCTCACTGCTTACTTTTTGTGTGTCAACACAATGTACACAATGTATACAAAAACAGTTTCATGACAAGCCAGTGAACCCAGCTACCAGCTAGTAATGGGTGAAGATGAGTGCACAATCTTTAAGCCCATTTCATGCACAAAAACCAAACTTTCTTTTCCTCCAATGCCATTTGCCGTGAGATTTGTCCGCCCACCTGGAGACCCAGAGAAGCACAGGAAGTTCAGCTGGTGCTTGCCAATAGGGCATCATTATTTCCATATCTAATGCCCCACCTTCTGAATTGTTTACATATGGATTATTCAGCTGTCGACACAGCGTGATAATTTTCTTATTTATTTTTGTAATAAAACTGTTGCTTCCACTGAAGACACTTAACAGGCTACTCCAGTGCATGTTGCATTTCACAGGCCAAATACAAAAGAATCCGATTTTCCTTCTTCCCCTGGATCTCTGTGGCTGAAGACCAAACTAGATACAACACACAGGTATGTGTTATGTACTCTCAAATTACAGAAAACAAAATAATAAAATTAGCACTGAATATTTGCAATCTGTAAAAGAGTAATGGGAGAAGGAAAGCTGATGATAAAACCTTTTCCAACCAGGACTGACCCCTCCCCCTTAGCTGCTTGTCCACTAAAGATGACCTCATTTGCAAAAAGGTTATATGTCTGGCTTGGGTCTAGTTGTCATTTGCAAAATACATTACAAATTGCTTCCTCGCTCAAATATAAGACCACATACTTAACACAAAATTAGTGGCTGCACTATCCAGATGTGAAAGTTCCTATCTTTTATCTTTAAGGCTGGAAGTTCAGAACGCTTTTAGAGGTACAGACTTTCACACTGAAGAGTAGGGACTTACTTCAGACCAAATCCTGCTTTACAGATGGCCAAGAATGGGAGGTAAATGAGTGAGGTCCTACAAAATAAATGGAAGCTGCTGAAAAATAATTCCACAAATGTTTTCCTGGGAATGTGCTCTCCTTACACATTTAACTCTTGTGCCTTCAACAGAGCACACAATGGCAAACCACCAGAAAGTAGGAAATAGATGAAACCCAATTCAAAGTGCTTGTTTTGACATATAAAGCCTTAAACGGCTTGGGCCCTGGACACCTGAAGGACCACCTCTTTCCATATGAACCTACCTGGCAATTAAGGTCTAGCCAAGGGGCTTTCCTGAAAGAGCCATCCCTCAAGGAGCTAAGAGGAATGGCTTGTAGACAAAGGGCCTTTTCGGCAGCTGCCCCCAGATTATGGAATGCCCTCCGGAGGGAGATTCCTTTGGTGCCGGCCCCAGGTCAAAACCTTCCTGTTTCAGGTTTTTAATTGTAATGTTACCGACTGTGGGTCTTGATGGCAATTTTTAGAGCACTGTATTTTTATTGTATTTTGTTTTATCTTTTTATCTTTTTACTGTATTTAAATTGTTGTAAGCTGCCCAGAGACCCTTGGGTAGTGTGGGCGGCATATAAATTAAATAAACATAGAAAAGAGATGTTCCTAAGACATGCATCAGAGATCACAATTCTCTTATTTGAGACCAATATATCCTACAAATTAATCAAATAATACCTGCTTCCAACCCTTACAAAAAAAACTTTGCCACCACCAATAATCATACCTGCTGATGTTTCAAGAAATTTTTCACTTGTCTTCTTCTTTCGCCACTTCCACGGCTTGAAGATTTTACCAATGGTAGAAAATTTGCCCTTCCTCTTGAAAGGAGGAGATTGGGAACCTGGGGCTGGTCCATCTGAGTTTGCAATTGATGCCTTGTCTATCCCATCAACTATGTAAATAAGAAATATATATATAAAAAACTCAGCACACTGCATCGCTGAAACCTGTGTTAAAGCAAAATATCTATTTTTAAATTCAAAACACTTGAGTTTGAAGGAGGAAACATATCACATTCCAGTGTGTTGCCATGTGCGCTAACACCTTTAAATAAAAGAAGCACCACAGTTCAGCAAGAAAAAGAATGTTAATAGATGTATCACATACATAAAAGCAAGAATAAAATGGTACCTTCTGGCTCATATCCAGTAAAGGCAGCTGCACATTTTCAAACAGCACTTTGAAATCCTAAGCCCAATTTTACTTGTTTTCTAGAAGCATCAACATCAAACTCTCTGGTCTCTACACAGCTGCTGAGGTTAGTTCAAAATTGCTGAAAATGTCACGGGTATCTTGCATAATAGCGCTGTTGTCCTGCTTTTTTTTAGCTCGGACACAGTAAGCAACAAAACAACCTGATTTTTTGACAACATGCTGAATATGCACATGCACACATGCCTACACAATCGAAAGACAAAGGTTGACACCAAAGATAGGTAATCTGTTCAAAGCCATGTGATTGCAATTAAAAGCACTAACAGATTCTGGTAGAAATTAATGTTCCAAAAATCAGTTTCTCACTTCAGAATCATTTCATGTTCCACTGTATCACACAGCCTCTGAAAAGATTCCAGAAAACTTTTGTGCATGGTAAAACACTTAAATATGGCTAATTTTCTATGAGGTGGATCCACTGAACATGCATGTTTTTATTAATACTATTATTATTAATAATATCATCAACAGCTGTTACAGACTCCATCATTTGTAACCTTTGAATTTGGGCTAGGGCTCCTTGGATGACCTATTGCTTTTCTGATCTCATTGCTTTTCTTTTCAGCACACAGTGCTTTCCCCTCCCTTCTCTCTTAACGCTCAGTGTGATTCAGACATCCTCTTTACTAGAAAGAAAAACAGAACCTCGTACTGTTGTATGATTACAGAAGATAACAAAGATTTTTTTCTTAAAATAATCCATTCTGAGCATATTTCTATAATTATTTTTAACCAAACAATGCTGAGTGTTCCATAAAGACATCTTAACATCAGAATTTGAAGGTGTCAGGTCTAATGAGAGAATTAAATGGGTAAGTCCACTGGTAGGAACTACAGATGTAGCCTAATATGTTTAATACGAAATGCACCTAATAGACACGAACAAGATAATACTGAGCTCAGAACAAGAGAACAGATCAAAGAAGATGGAGAATGCTGCAGAAGAAGAAAAATGGACCTCAAAAAGGAAAATAGAACCACAAAAATAGCAGGGAGCTTTAACTGAAAGGACTATTCATTGTTCAGTAGCTTCATAAATTCATGTCACTTGATCTCTCTATATTTAATCATTTACCTTGTGTCTCAAGTGTATGTACTTCTGCCTTCGCATGTGCATACAGAGCTTGATCCTACAGGGAATGGGGTGTGGTATAGAGGCCCTCCGTTTTTTTGCTACAGCTAACACACTAAATTTTGGTGCACCTCAACAGATAAGTTGAATAAGAGGGATCTGTTATGACTATACGTTTCAAGGTAAAAAACATTAACAGTGGTCGAGGGGAGGCTCCTGATATAAGTAAAAATAGAATGGTTTTGATTTAAATTGATTTAAATTTTAAAAACTGGATTTTAGAAAACCATTTTGAGAAAAAACATTAATTTTTAAAATTAAAATAATTATTTAGATCTATTTGATTTTTAAAAGTCATTGATTTTTATCCACCCTGAGTGAAATAGAAGGCCTTTGAGGAAAGCGGGGAGATTTGAAATGTTTCTCTAAACACATTCACCAGCAAGGCATTTAGAAAGATCCATATCTTTCCAGATTACTGACAAGATTTTTTTTTTAGCTTTGTTTTGTACACAATTGCTAAATCATGGTTCAGTGTTACAGGGTTGGGTTCCAAGAGCCTTGGACACTCACACTACCTCGGTTCTCTCTTTTTCTGCAGTACTGCCATAAGGAAACCAGAAACTTCCCCTTCCATTTTAGTTTAACCACAGTTTAGTGTTATGTCTTATTCCTGAAGTGTGGCTAACACTAAGTAGGGCACAGATCATCCAATTCAATTCAGATGCCAACATTGCGCCTTGAGATTTATCTGGAAATGATTATGGCTTTCTCCATAATCCAGCGCATGTTAGCAATTTGGTCTCTAGTTCTTCTGCCCCTTCGAAATCCAGCTTGTATTTCTGGGAGTTCTCGGTCCACATGCTGCTGAAGCCTACTGTGTAGGATTTTGAGCATAACCTTGCTAGCGTGTGAAATGAGTGCAATTGTGCGGTAGTTGGAGCATTCTTTGGCACTGCCCTTCTTTGGGATTGGGTTGTAGACTGATCTTTTCCAGTCCTTTGGCCACTGCTGAGTTTTCCAAACTTGCTGGCATATTGAGTGTAGCACCTTAACAGCATCATCTTTTAAGATTTTAAATAGTTCAACTGGAATGCCATCACCTCCACTGGTCTTGTTGTTAGCCATGCTTTCTAAGGCCCACTTGACCTCGCTCTCCAGGATGTCTGGCTCAAGGTCAACAACCACAGTATCTGGGTTGTCCGGGACATCCAGATATTTCTGGCAGTGGTTCTTAACCTTTGTTACTCGGATGTTTTTGAACTGCAACTCCCAGAAACCCCAGCCAGCACAGTTGGTGGTGAAGGCTTCTGGGAGTTGCAGTCCAAAACTACTGAGTAATCCAAGATTAAGAACCAGTGATTTCTGGTATAATTCCTCTGTGTATTCTTGCCACCTCTTCTTGATGTCTTCTGCTTCTGTTAGGTCCCTACCATTTTTGTCCTTTAGTATGTCCATGGAGTCACGAAGAGTCGGACACAACGACTCAACAATATCCATCTTTGCACAAAATGTTCCTTTAATATCTCCAATTTTCTTGAACAGATCTCTGTTTTTCCCCTTTCTATTATTTTCCTCTATATCTTTGCACTGTTCATTTAAGAAGGCCCTCTTGTCTCTCCTTGCTATTCTTTGGAAGTCTCCTTAAATCTGTTCTTCTCTTACATTGTGTATTCATAAGGGATTTGGTTTAGATTATACCTGACTAGCCCAGTGGTTTTTCCTTTCTTCAGTTTAAGCTTGAATTTTGCTATAAGAAGCTGATGATCAGAGCCACAATCAGCTCCAGGTCTTGTTTTTGCTGACTGTATAGAGCTTCTCCATCTTTGGCTATAGAGAACATAATCAATCTGATTTCGGTATTGCCCATCTGGTGATTTCCATGTGTAGAGTCGCCTCTTGTGTTGTTGTAAAAGAGTGTTTGAGATGACCAGCTTGTTCTTTTGATAAAACTCTATTAGCCTTTGCCCTGCTTTGTTTTGAACTCCAAGGCCAAACTTACCTGTTGTTCCTTTTATCTCTTGACTCCCTATTTTGGCATTCCAGTTCCCTATAATGACAGGGACATTTTTCTTTGGTGTCAGTTCTAGAAGGTGTTGGTCAATGTCAGCCTCTTCAGCATCGGTGGTTGGTGCATAAAATTGGTGCAAATTCAGGATTCTTAGATTTGGCTAAAGCCAATGCACAGTCCAACTCTTAACTATAGCTAGTAAAAACAAGCAATGTCCATGGCCTAAATTCCACATTTTGCTGGTGGCCACAACTCATCTTCTGTGCCTTCCTCTCCCTTGTTATCCTTATACCATTGTGGGGGTGTTACCTAGCCTCCAGAACTCACTTTAGGGGTGCATGGGGAACTGCAGTGGGAAAGGACAGCTCCTTTTGGTTGATGTTTGTCAAGTGAAAATCTATCTAGGGCCTGAAGTTCCACCTTCAACCAAACTATTCATAGAGAAGACAAATACAGCCTTGGAAAATGCATTTTTAAAAGGTTTTTCAAGTAAATCTAGAGTTACTTTCCAGGGCAAGATCCTCAAATTCTTCAAACAGCACAGACAGAAAGAAAGGAAAGGAGACAAACCACTAAACACTTCCATTACCTTTTCCCCTGAAAATAAGACCTAACCTGAAAATTAGCCCTAGCCTGATTTTTCAGGATGCTCGTAATATAAGCCCTACCCCAAAAATGAGCCCCAGTTAAGTGAAACCCCACCCTCCACCATTGTGCAGCAACCGGAAGAAGATGGCATAACTATATTTTAATAAATGTAGATGGTTGTACAGGAAAAAAAATCATCCCCTGAAAAAAAGTCCTATTGGATTTTTTGGAGCAAAAATTAATATAAGACCCTGTCTTATTTTCAGGGAAACATGGTAGTAAGGAGCAGGAAGGAGAGGGAGCAGTAGGAAACTGAATGAGCACTGAGCTGGATGGAGGCAAGTTTGAAATGGTTGGGGAAAGAGAAAGAGAACAATGATCGGGGTTAAGATGTTTCTAATCTAGGAAAAACAGGTACATCTGCTAATATAAAAGAGGTACAAAACACACCCTCACCTATTTTGTTTTTCTGCTTTGGGGGACAAAGAGATTAATCGCTAATGGATAAAGAGAGAAAGGTATGCTTTAACTGCAGATCGGCACAGCTGTCTTTCATACATTTTTATTCACTCCACTACGTAACTGTTAACTTCAGGAAGTTCTTTCATGAGCTAACTGTACTGACAGCATATTAATTAAAGGAAAGGGAAAAGCTTGGGTATTAATGTGGGTGGCTGAATGGTAGTTTCCAGATGGGGCTGCCAATGCTGCAAAATGTTAATTAGGCCTCCTGCTAGAGAAGAGATTAAAAGTGTAGGTAGCTGTACTTGCAAATTAATCCTGACTTTTGCCTTAATATTGAGAAAATGGACAGAGAAGTATATCTCATCTTCAGGGTTATAATACAGGAAGAGTCACTCTCGCCCCACATGCTTAAATATCACTATTTTTGACCCCAAAATATGTCAGTGAATAAACCCAAGGTTTTCAAGTTTCAATGCTTGCTCTTCCAAAGTTAGTTTTCAAATGATTTCTTGTGGATTATTTGCCCAGCCCTATATATTCA